GTGGAACCAGCTTAGAAGTCAAGGAGACAGAAATTCTCTCAGGAGAGGTATGGACAAATACAAAAGACTAAGTAAACTAATTTTATAACACCGATCTCCCAGAGATCACCATCACACAGTGTCAATTTTGGACCAATAAAAAGTCCTTACCCTCAAAATGTTGAAAAAATCCAAAAACAAACGTGAGAAAGTACTTTATCCATGTTAAGCACGTGACTAAGAATCGCGCCAATTTAGGAAATGTTAAGCACGTGTTACATACCAAACGAGTGTCCACATCAAACTTGTGGCGCATGTGCATTATCTCGACCATAAAAAGGTCAATAGGTTCTTCAGGTTTACGAATGCAGAGTACCTATTACATTAAGCCACAAAAAGTTGCACGTGAACGAGATAGCAGGTACAAAAATATATTTCTTAGCTTCTATAGAATTAGTGAATATCAATCAACTAACATATCAGAAATAAGTACTTGTGACATTCATTAGAAGTGTGAGGAAAAACTGTTTATTATACAACATTTCAAGCACTCACAGCATTTGCAACAATGTCAGTCAGTTGATCTGCCAACGCCTCATACAACTGCACCAGACAAGAAGAGAAAATTAAAAAATAAATAATAAAAATAAATAAAAAATTTCAATAAAAACCAAAGAGAGAGAGGAAAGGAGCTTGAAAATAAAGGGGGAGGGGAAACCTTTGTCCTCAATGTTGTTCTTGCTACCATCTGCAGTATCTCTTTATCTGGCTCTTCCCCCATTACCACCGAAGTCTTAAATTTTTCAAGAAATTGTATTGTTGCTCGTTTAGCAATTTCAAAACCATCTACCAAAACACGTGGGTGCATCCCTGCAAGAATATAGAATCTCACTTCAAAATTTACTAAACTCAGATAAATATAGAACTGAAATCATTTTAACCATTTTTTTTTATTTTTGGGTAAATAGCGGTTTACATTAAACAATCGGTCAAAACACAAGGACAATAAAATTTGAAAGCTCTGTAGCATGGACACTTCAATTAGGGTAGCGTGTCCATGTCGGACACGTGTTAATACCGACACTCCCCGAACACTCTACTATAAACATTTTTCATTATTTATTAAAGATATTATATATTTTTAAATCCAAGTTATTAGTAAACAACAAATTGGTACTCATATTTAAAAGGTTTCAACAAAAAAATTAATAACAAGTATAAAACTAAATTTATACCATATAAATAAAGATTCGTAAAGAATTTAATCAACGTGTCGACGATGTGTCGTGTCAGTACTTTTTTGAAAAATCACGTGTCGGTGTATCCGACAAGTATCGTGTCGGACACACGCGTCCGTGTCTGTGTCCATGTATCATAGTTTGAAAGCAAAAAATCACTAGAAGGTATAGGGTCAACATTTTTGGTTTGCAATGATCCAAATGTCGTAAATGAAAAAAGCATTAGCAGCATCATATACAAAAATAATAATAATAATAAATAAACTAGAAATCACATGTCCATGAAAATGATCTGGTAAATAGTAAATGCGTAGAGGATAGGAATCTGATTCAAATTACGGAGTCAATTTTCATACACAAAAATAGGTATTCAAATTACGAAGTCAATTCTCATACACAATAGCTGCATGTCAAGCCTGTAAGCTACACTTACATGCCATCAGTAATAGGGCTACTTTTTCATCCAGCAAGTATGTAATGTAATAACTGAAATTTTCTTTTAAAATCTGTAAGAATGTGGATATAAAACAACAGAAGAATGCACGATGGAGCAATTATACTGAAACTATTGAAGAATCTAAGATTGACTTACCTTCATCTATGTAGCGCTCTGATTGTTTCATGAGTTCCCCAATAAAGAGGACAGTGGAAGTAGTACCATCTCCACTTGCATCATCTTGAGCAACAGCCGTCCTTGCAATCATTATAGCCGTTGGATTTTGAATTTGCTATCAGCGATTAGTGAGAACGCGATCAATAATCAAGAAGCCACATTTATAATCTAATATGTTGGTAAGCACTCATTTTCTCTTAAATTTAAATCGATACTCAATTCAAACCCATTAAATTAGAAATGAGAAATTGATCAAACAATTATCTGTGTCTCCTTCCAGATAATTTTACTAGGATCCTAAACACCTTTATGCTCTATCGAGGTTACGCATTGGGTTGTATTATAGAAATTGTGTCCATGTCATTATCCTCACAGAGTCAATTTCAGTATCTTCAGTGCTAGTCCATGTCTATTCTAGTCGTGCTCTGCCTTGACATAACCCTGGACAAAAAATAATGCAACTCTTTCTCATGGATGTTCCATTCCAATGAAAGATTTTAACTGAAGAAAAACACTCAAACGCCAATATCATTTGACATTCGAAGAAAATAAGCATCAATAAAAGATTTTCATCAAACTGTGCGAGTTTATGCCAGTATTACCATATAAACATGGTCTAAAATTTTCCTTTTTCACCCAAAATATCTTGTGAGCTTTCATATTACTTCATTGAACATCATATTCAAGCCCACAAAAAAAAAGTTACAATGTTTTAAGCAGCACAAAAGGAGATGCCAGCAAATTCAATATGTTGCTCAACCATCCAAACAACAAAACTAAAAATTGCAATATTCTAATACCGCAACAGTAACACTTGAGACCAAAAAATCTATGGATACGAATATTAAAAAAAAAAAAAAAATACTAACCATCTCTTTCAAAAGCGTGTTGCCATCCTTGGTGAGTTTAATGTCACCAGCTCCACCAACAAGCCTACCATCGATAAATAATGTAATTAATTTAGAATTCTAATTAGTTATATCAGTAATAAATCGAATTTTAAAAAAATAAATAAAATGAGACATTTACATTTTAATAGTGCCCTTAGGTCCGAGGTTGGTTTTGAGGACATCATGCAAACCCTTGGCGGCATTGATGTTCATGTGAAGTGCTGCCGACTTGTTCAGCACCTCCGCATTCGGATTCAGCACCCTCAACGACATCGTATCGCAACTTTCCGGATCTTCGCAATTACAAAACACGATCAGATTCTGTACTTACACGCAAACTAAACAACACCTTATGAAAGTGCGAATATAGACAGAGAAAGAGTACAGCGAAATGAAAGAATAGATCGAGATTTCAATAGGGTTTGGAAGAGTGTGTTCGTGTATGCACTGTCTTCAGTTTGAGAGTAGAATGGGTTTTAGGGCTTTCTGAAACGGAAGGGTTTGGCCTCACATCCTTTGTCACGTTGAAGTGAAAGGGTGGTTTAGCCCTTCTTTGGTACCTTTTTTTTTTTTTTTCAAAATGAATTTCTCTCACTTCTTTTTAATCACATTTTTTATTAAATTAATATTACACATAAATTAAAAAAAAAATCTTTATTTTTCAACCACCTACTTCCCATCAAGTTACTATTCTAAAATACATTTTTATCTAAAAATGACAATCAAACACCCCCTTAGAAGTAGTTTGCAACATTTATGGTCTGTTTGGGAGAGATTTTGAGAATTGATTTTTTGATCGTTAGAAGAAAATTGAAATCCATCTGTAAGAGAAGAAGTCAAAAAATACGGCTGAAATAGTGAAATAACAATCAAAAAAATATTTTTTTTAGATAAAAAATCCCTCCCAAACAGACTGTATAATTATTTATAATGATTAAATTTCTTTTCAAATCACACCTATTAATAAATTCATAAGTAATATTTCCTTATTCAATGCTCATTTTTATTTATAGTCATAGGTGAACGTGCGTTGAGCATAATTCTAAAATGTTTCATAAGTGTCATAAAAATAATATTTTGTTGTAAATGGAAAGTCCATTAAAATTTATTGGTGAATGACATTTGTACCCCTGTAACCCTATAAATTATTACCATTGTATCCCTGATTCTTACCTATAAATATAGAGTTTTGGTTTTCAATAATACAAACAAAAAGTTTATTGAGTTTTCTCTATTTATTTTGAGTTTTCTCTATTCTCTTTTCCTCTCATTTTATAACACATTATCAGCACGAAACTTTTAGAAAGTAGTAATTTTTTTCATAATCATCTATCACGTATATCAAAATTAATTTGATAATACGTAAATTTTACATATATATATGTTAAATCTGCAATATGTGATCTCATCTTTCTCGATTATTATGTTTTCTTTGTACCTCTCTTTGAGTTAATTAATGTTTTTTTCTTTTACATCAATCCACGTGCATTTTTATGGAAATATATTTATGTTAAATCAATTGATATGCATTAATTCATGTTCTTATACCCTCCTTATATTTAGATTAGCCATTTACGTTCTACACATGCTTATAATTTTTTTTTTTTGTTTGTCATCAATTTTTTTGTATTTTACTCAACTCGCGTTATTAATTCAAAATAATATTTTACATGTATTTGTATATTAATTAATGGTGAGCAATTTGATGTATTATCATTTTTTTTATGTTTAGTTATGAAACATTACGTTAAATTTATTTTTAATTGTTGTTGCTCCTGAAGTAGCACAATATTATAATTAATATTTCAGAAAAATATTAATCATAAATATATTCGTTGTTGCTCCAGAAGTAGCACAACATTATAAGAATATTATTTGCTCTTGAAGAGCATAAATTATAACTCTCAATATTCCAAAAAAATATTGACATATTGCACTTGAAGAAATAATAGCAAAATATAATGTCCTCCAGAAGTAGCATATGTTTCGAAAAACATATTATTTCAAATTAGTGTTTATCCCTAGAGGAAAACACGTAACTTAAAGTCATGTTGATATTGACTATTTGATTAACATGTGATGATTAATCATATTTTTCGAAACTAATTGTATTTTTTTGTTAACAAATGGCAAACATTACGAAACTTGAGTTTGCTGCACTTAACATATCTGGTAAAAATTATCTGTCATGGATATTGGATGTTGATATCCATCTCGTCTCAAAGGGTTTGAGAGAGACAATAAAAGAAGGAAACAATGAATCCCTGCAGGATCGTGCAAAAGCACTCATTTTTCTCCGTCACCATCTTCACGATGGATTAAAAATTAAATATCTTATTGAGAAAGATCCACAAGTTTTTTAGAAAAAGTTAACTGAAAGATTTGATCATCAGAGGATTATAGTCCTCCCCAAAACCCGTTATGAGTGGATGCACCTTCGTTTGCAAGACTTTAAACGATTAGTGAGTACAATTCTGAATTGTTCAGAATATGTTCAAAGTTGACTTTGTGTGGAGAAAAAATCACCGATGAAGATATGCTGTAAAAAACTTTATCCACCTTTCATGCCTCGAATGTGCTCATGCAGCAGCAATATCGTGAGCGTGGGTTCAAAAAGTACTTAAAATTTATATCTTGCCTACTAGTTGAACAAAATAATGAATTGTTGATGAAAAATCATGGATTACGTCCAACTGGTTCTGTACCATTGCCTGAAGCAAATGGTACTACATTGTCTGAAACAAATACAATATCAAGACAAGGACGTGGACGCGGACGTGGACGTGGACACGGATTTGGACGTGGACACGGACACAGACGTGTACGTGGAACAAATCATTGAAGAAATAATTAACAAAGTTATCAACAACAAGGCAATAAATTCATAAGGCACAAAGCAAACGAGAGTGACAAATCTAAAAAGGAGTATAAAGAAAGTTGCTTCAAATGTGGAATGAAAGGGCATTGGGCACGTACGTGTCGTACCTCAAAACATCTTGTGGATCTCTACCAGAGATCAATCAAGGGAAAAGAAAATTTGGAGACTAATTTTGCTGATTATGATGGTCCAATTGATGTGACTCATTTGGATGTCTCCGATTTCTTTACTGATCCAAATGAAAATATTGACCATTTGGTTGGGGATGCTATGATAGAAGATATAGATTAATTTACTAGTATTTCTTTCGTTTTAAAAATTCAGTCTGAAATATGTTTTTATTTCATTATATTAAGTAATGTTTACTTTTTTAAATCTAAATTCAAGTTTTTTTTTAAATTTTGTTTATTTTGTTATATTTATAGATTCATGATGGATAATCAAAACAACTGCTTAATTGATAGTGCAACTACACATACTATTCTTCAAGACAAAAAATAGTTTTTGGACTTAATATTAGCTGAAAATAATGTTAACACGATATCGGGTGCGTCGAATATCATTGAAGGCTCCGGAAGAGCTTGTATTATTTTACCAAATAATACAAAATTATATATTGACGATGCACTTTATTCTAGCAAATTCAGAAGAAATTTACTTAGTTTTAAAGATATTCGCTGCAATGAATATCATATTGAAACGATGCAAGAAAAAAATGTTAAATATCTTTGCATCACTTCTTTTGTATCTGGCAAGAAGCAGATAAAAGAAAAATTTCATGCACTCCCGTCTAGCATGTATTTTACATTTATAAAAATGGTCGAATCAAATAATGTTACGAACCAGAAGTTCGTTGATTCAAAAAGTTTTATACTTTGGCATGATCGATTTGGACATCCAGGAGTCATAATGATACATTGAATAATAAACAACTCACATGGACATCCTTTAAAGAACCAAAAGATTCTTTTATTTAATGATTATCCCTGTGTAACTTGTTCACAAGGCAAGTTAGTTATTAGACCTTCAACTACAAAGGTCAATATTGAATATCCAACTTTCTTGAAAAGAATACATGGAGATATATGTGGGTCAATGCACCCACCATGTGGACAATTTCGTTACTTTATGGTATTAATTGATTCTTCTACAATATGGTCACATGTTTGCCTACTTTCAACTAGGAATGTAGTATTTGCTAGACTACTTGCTCAAACCATAAAATTACGAGCACAATTACCCAATTACTCAATCAAGACCATTCGTCTTGACAATGCTGGTGAATTTAGATTACAAGCATTTGATGATTATTGTATGTCAATTGGGATTGAAATTAAACATTCAGTTGCACATGTTCATACACAAAATTGTTTAGCGGAATCGTTTATTAAACGTCTACAACTTATTGTTAGATCATTACTTATGAAAACAAAACTCCCAACTTCTGTTTGGGGTTATGCCATATTACATGCTGCATCATTAGTTCGTATAAGATCAACTACCTATCATCAATATTTACCTTTGCAACTTGCATTTGGTCGTGAACCTGATATTTCTCACCTATGGGTTTTTGGTTGTACTGTCCAAATTCCTATTTCACCCCCACAACATACTAAAATGGGTCCCCAACGAAGACTTGGGATTTATGTGAGTTTTGATTCACCATCTATTATTAGATATCTTGAACCTTTAATGGGTGAGTTATTTACAGCACGTTTTGCAGATTGCAATTTTGATGAAATGACTTTCCCAACTTTAGGAGGAGAAAAACTACATCCTGAAAAACAAAATAGAATTTGTTGTAATGAGACAACTCTATCTCACTTTGATCCCCGCAACAATCAATGTGAACAAGAGGTTGAAAAAATAATTCATTTGCAAAAAGTTGCAATTCAATTACCTTATGTATTTGTTGACACGAGAATAGTGACAAAGTCATATATTTCAGCAGAAAATATTCCAGCAAAAATTAATGTCCCTGCAGGACAATCTGTTGTGGCAAATGAATCTCAAATACACCAGAAGCGTGGTCGATCAGTTGGTTCAAAAGACTCTGTACCTCGAAAAATAAGAGTACAGGAGAAAAACCAACCAAAAACTTCAGAAGAAATCACATTAGAAAAGATTGATCAATCAAATATTGAATGTACGATTCCTGAAGAACCAGAGGTGTCCGAAAATAATGAGATCTCAATAAATTATATGATATCTCATAAATTATGGGAACGGAATAATATTGTTATAGACAATATTTTCGCCTTTAACATGGCTCTTGACATTATGCAAAATGAGGATCCTGAACCACAATATGTTAATGACTGTCGAAATAGAAATAATTGGCCAAAATGGAAAGAAGCCATACAGGCAGAATTGAATTCTTTGGAGAAACAAAAAGTGTTTGGACTAGTAGTTCGAACACCTGAAAATGTAATCCCTATTGGATACAAATGGGTTTTTGTACGAAAGAGAAATGAGAATAATGAAATTACAAGATACAAAGCCCGACTAGTGGCTCAAGGTTTCTCCCAAAGACCGGGAATTGATTATGAGGAAACATATTCTCCCGTAATTAGGGCTGGGCAAATCTCCCGAACCGAACTCGACGGTTCTTGTCAAATTAAATACCCGAACGGGTATCTTAATTGAAAACCGACGGGTA